GAAACGTACGCATATAAATACATATATAAAGATATATATATATATATATATATGTACATACATACATACATACATACATACATATATATATATATATATATATATATACGTATATATAGGTATGTACATATATACGTATATATATATATATATATATATTTATTTGTATATTTATTTAATAATGTATATCTAGATATATATATATATATATATAAACACACACACACATATAAGTATATGCATATACATATATATATATATACCTATATATATATAGACATACATGAACATATGCATATACTCATACATACAAACATACAAATGTGCATACATACATATACAAAGTATATATATATATATATATATATATATATATATAGATAGATAGATATATACGTACATACATACATACATACAAAAAAAATATATATACATAGATATATACATACATGGATACATACACACACACACACACACACACATATATATATATATTTATATATATATGTATACATATATACATATTTGTATATATTTATACGTAAATATATGCATACATGCATACATACATATATATATATATACCCACACATATAAATGCGATAAGTATATATATATATATTATAGAAGTATATGTACCTATTCACATTTATTTGTTATATACATTCGTACTTATACACACACACATATATATATGCACATACTCTCAGACACACACATCCTCACACACACACGTATATATAGAGTATATATATATATATATATATATATGTATATGCATACACATGCATATATATATATATATATATATATATATATATATATATGTACATATACGTATACATATATACTAAAATACACTTGGTTATAAAAATTCATATCGATCATGATTTTATGCGTAGTCATTCTTACATCGTTTCAATGGTGAAAAGCACATCATGATCGCTACTGACTATAGATAGGTCAATGTTCACATATAACGTACCAATTTGTCGTACGTGTAATTAAGAACACCGTCCATCCAAGCAGATACTTGATACTGCACTGTTCAGTAATTTCTTGTGTACTGTTTACAGTATTTTCTTGTGTTCTGTTTACAGTATTTACACTTCAAGAACTTCAGTGACTTCACACACCTAGTAAATGTTTGTTGCCCAAATTGTCTGCCTGTGTTCGTTTTATTCTCGATGGGGATTCATAGATTTATATTTTGATATGGCAGGAGTTTGGACTGAGGAAGCCAGGAGGCAGGAACTATTCAGTGTTAACTGTTTACTGTTTATTTGTTTGCTTTTTTGAAAGCTACATATGTGCCTTTGGCTAAATAGTTTTGAGCTTTGAGGGTTCACACTTTCATCACTTCTGCTTTCAGCATAGCGCCACTAGCCAGCCTTAGTGTCCTACCGTAAATAAGTAGTAAACAGTGGTTTATACGCTTACGTCCTACGAGGCTACGATTCTGCAACTATACGACCTACAGGCTGCTGTAGGCAACAGTATACAGGCTGCTGGCCTACATACATTCACATTGGTGTCAATGGCGTGGGCAATATGTAGGGTGCCGACCTGCCGTCTGCTTTTTACTGTTTGAGTTTAGACTTCTCTTTAGTCAGCTTTTACACAGCGACACAGCGTCACAGTAGGTCTGCTAACTGCTTTCTGCGCCTTCTTTCTTTTTTATTGGCTATTCTCTGTTCTATTGTTAAAACCTCCGAAGTATTGAGTATTGACTCTATATGAGGCATCAGTTCATATTCATAAGGCCTCAGGAGTCAGGAGTTCAGGACCACCCTCTTGATTGCTGTGTATTTAGTAATGGAGTAG